CTATTCCCGTCCCTCTTCCACTCCCTCTTCCATCGCCACCACATCCTTGTCATGCCTTCTTGCCAACGTCGCGGGGGGGGGGGGGGGGGGGGTGAATGAAAGAATCAGGATGGTTGGGGTTGAGGATGCGGGAGACAGGGAGAGGAGTGAGTTGGAAATAATAAAGGAGAAAGTTTTCTTGACTGAAGGCGAAAAAGAAGCGTCTCGAAAAGAATAAAAAAAAAGCTCAAATCGGCACCGAATCGCCATGTGTCTTCCGTCTCGCTCATGTAAGCTGCATGCTGTAAACAGCGCACTCCAATGCGCCCTATTGCTTCCACAATGCACGCCATTCATTGGCCACCCGGCTGACACGCCATGCATCGCTGGCACGCGTCCGTTGGTCCTGCCACATCAACACGCACCCGCAAGTCAACTCCAACTAGAAAATCTCTCCTCGCATAGCTAACCAATTCATCGCTTCCCACCGCTCCCCTACCTTCCCCCACCGCCCTCGCTTGTCGATCCCAAGTTCGTTCGACTTGCCCCGCTCGTGTCGATTGGCAACTCGGATAGAGACCTCTTCACACCACCCGCCGCCATCATCAACGAAATCCCTACGCTATCCAACACAAACGCCGCCACCAAGATCCAACTCACCCCCCCGGCGCTCGCCCCTGCCCCAAACACCGCACTCGTCACGCACGCCATCAAAAACGGCACCACCACCCCGCTTTGCACCATCGTCCGCTGCGGCAACGATGTCGATACAATAGCCCGCACGTAATAAGGCAGTACTAACCACAAAAAACCCACCATCACAAACCCTACGACATGTCCCGTCGTCAGGTGTATCCGCGTGATACCCCCAATCACCGAAAGCGATAACACCGCTCCAGTCGAAGACGATATCCAACTCAGCAACGCCAGCGGCGTCAGCCAACCGCATGCCGCCGTAGTGCTTAGCGCAAAGTGTCTCTTCGCTCCGCCAAGTTCTGTCGCCAGCCGTCGCGTAAACGCCCGGCTGCTCTGCATCACAACCGACGCAACGAGCACCAACACCACCCCGATCTCGCTACGCAATGGAGTTCCCTCAACAAATGCATCACGCACAGTCCCCGACCCTTTGACTGGAGGATCATATGTCGTCAGCAATCGTCTTCGTCCTTTCCCCCCAGCCCCCACATTCATGATATCTCCCTCCTGATCCATTTCGTTCATTTCAACGGCATCCGCACCGTTGTCTCCGCCGAGATGAGCCAAATGACTCAGCTCTGAAGTCTTGTTGGCAAGCTGGCCAATGGTATGCTCTGCTTTCTGCCCGAGCGGGGATCTTTCCATATCATGGATATCGGGTGCGTGTCCCGAGGCATCCCAGATAAGCAGGCAGTACGCCAGCAGCATGCACACGGCCCCCCTGCTTTTGCGTCGCTCTGGAAGCTCGCGGCGAGTAACTATGGCGAAAAGATACAGCAGCGGCAGCTCAGCCCCGTCCACGAGTAGCGTGCGCAGAGGCCCCGCCGACCGTAGGCCGGCCGTCCAGATGTAGAGCGTGGCAGCCAAGATGCCACCGGCGATGACGACGCGACGACCACGCTTCGAGCCCACGCGCTTGCCATTCCACGGGCGCTGAAGCAGAAGTAAGCATGAGGCGGCACCGAGAGTTACAAAGAATAAGTAGAGGGGGAGCGCGACACGATCTTGGAGGTAGTGAAAGGAAACGAAAGCAGCAAATACACGCGACGCTTTGCCGAGGATGAGGGTTGCAAAGGCCGGAACGAAACTGAGAGCCGGTGAAGAATTAGAAGCGCGGGAACCGCGGGAGGCCTTGGACGCAAGGCGTGAACCGGGTTTGGATCCGGGTTTGGATCCTGCTTTCGGGAGGACTAAATTGTTGGGCATGGCGGCGGGTTTCTCCTGGCGACGCGCGGCTAATGCCGCTCAATGTGCGAAAGGCGTAGGGCTTGTTGGAATCCGGTAGGGCGTGAGTCGAGAGAAAACAAGGTCGGTGAAAAAAGAAAGGTGATCTGGAGGAAAGTCGTGTACCGAAACGGCAGGGGCGGTATGGAGGATGGAGGGTTTGTGAAAAGCGCCGGTGGGTACGTTGATTGTCCCACTCAGCTGTGGCACCCTACAGTACACTTTGCGCTTCCCGATTCCTGACTGTCCACATGCTGTGCCCCTTCCGGCATGTTGGTCCACGTGGCTCCACTCTCACTGTCAATACCAAGACACGTACCAATTTACTGTAAAGCCCTATTTCCACTGCCTTCGGCTACGTTCGGCTACCAACAACCCCATGATCAGTATTACACGTGTTATGCAGATTGTAGGAAAGCCAATTCTCCTTCGCCTCTCCATCGGCTCTGACGGAACCAATCTCCCCCAACCTCCCGCCCACTCGCCCTACTGCAGATCTTTGCCCATTCCCTATCACCCCTCCCACGATGCCGCCGTCCACCTCCGTGCTGGGGCGAAGAGCCGCAGCTTTCGTGCTTCCCTACTTCCGTCCCCCGGCATCTCTCACCATCCGCCAAACCTCGCATCGCCAAACCATCTCGCATCGCGACCTAACCGCCCGCCCGAACCGCATCCGGTGCTGCGCGGCCACGGGCGCGCCCGTCGCAACAAACCCAAACCCCCCTTCCGTGAAGCCGGCCAGCGGCGTGGACGGCCGCCCGAACATCATCGACGTCCTCGAGTCGCGTGGCCTGTTCGACGCGTCGACGTCCGACCCGGACGCTCTGCGCGAGCTCTGCGCGAAGCCGGTCGGCGTGTACTCGGGCTTCGACCCGACTGCGGACTCTCTACATCTGGGCAACCTGCTCGCCATCCTCGCCCTCGCGTGGTTCCAGCGATGCGGACACCGCGTGTACGCCCTCGTGGGTGGCGCTACCGGAAAGATCGGCGATCCGAGCGGGAAGAGCGCGGAGCGCCCCGCTATGGCGGATGAGACTATCGCGAACAATCTTGCGGGAATAGAGGCAAATTTGAGGCAGGTCCTCGACCGCTCGGCGAGGGAGATGAAGGCTGCGGGGGATGACGGCATTCAGGAGCCTGTGGTTGTCAATAATAACGACTGGGTCGCCCCCATGTCGTTTCTCGACTTTTTGAGGGATGTGGGCAAGTACGCGAGGGTCAACACAATGATGAACAAAGACTCTGTCAAGACGAGATTGGCCAGCGAGGAGGGGATGAGCTTTACCGAATTTACCTATCAGCTGCTGCAGGCGTATGACTTTATGCACTTGAGCGATAAGCATGACGTGTCGTTTCAGTTGGGGGGCTCCGATCAGTGGGGCAACATCACCGCTGGTACCGAACTCACGCGCAAGCTCAAGTCGCGAATCGTGCATGGCGTGACATTCCCGTTGCTCACTACCTCGGATGGTAAGAAGTTTGGCAAGAGCGAGAAAGGCGCAGTTTGGTTAACGCCCGACAAGTTGTCGCCATACGAATTTTATCAATTCTTGGTGCGCACACCAGACGACGATGTCATCCCCTTTTTGAAGCGATTGACTTTTATGCCGTTAGATGAAATTGATCGTATTGCAGAAGAGATGCAACGCCCCGACTATACGCAAAACTCCGCACAAAAGCGACTGGCGGAAGAAGTCACAAGAATGGTCCACGGCGAGAAGGGTGTCGTCTCTGCACTAGCAGCCACTGCTGCCGCAGCACCTGGCAGTAAGGCGGTTCTGAGCGTCGAAGCTCTAGAAGCGATCTCGGCTGACATGCCGAGCGCCACTATGACCCGAGCTGATGTCGTCGGTGGCGGGATTTTGGACCTAATGGTGCAGTCGGGACTCCAAAAGTCTAAAGGAGAGGCAAGAAGACTCATCAAAGGCGGAGGAGCTTATTTGAACAATGGAAAGATTACAACCGAAAAGCTCTCTATCTCGGAAGAGGATCTGGTCGGCGGAAAATTGATACTTCTTGCTGCAGGAAAGAAAAATAAACTCGTCGTGCGGGTGGAATAGGCTTGAGTGTTTCACGTCTTTGTCAACGGCATACATAACATGAGATCCATGGCGTTGCATTTTTCGGTTTGTTCCAATTCCGGCCAAGCCTGCGGCACCGCGAATTGCGAGTGTTTTGCTGGTGTTCCCGTAGAGCAGCAGGCCAGAGTTCTTTAAACAGCTAACCCCAAAGTCGCTCAACTCGCATACCGACCCAGTGCAGGCAATCCCATCAACCCTTCTTCCCAAAATAAGACATGATATTGCCTTTGATCTTCTTTTTGGGAGTCTTCTTCATTGTACTTGGCGTGCGCGTCTTTGACGAAGGTCTTTTCCGGTCTTTTCGCTGACTGCCAAGCTTCCCCTTCCCAGTCTTGCTATTCTGTGAATTGCGTGGCTTCAACGGCTTACCCAGCGCAGTGTTCAATGGAGACCGAGGCTTTTCCGGCTCTTCCGCGACCGGGGTGTCATCAGGCAACTCGTTACCCTCCTCGTCAAATACTTTCGTGACCACTCTTGTAATCAGATAGCCGTTGTCATCGTCCACCACCTCTTCGACCTCGCGGCGGATGCGCCTCGGACCGCTCCTGCTCGGTAGTCCAAAGGCCTCACTAAGCTTGCGTTTTGTTGGGCTCCCACTAGAAGCAGGACCATCCTTGCCGTTCTCCTCCACGTCTTTCAACTGCGGGGATTCCGGCAGGTCGTCCTTCGCGGGAGAGACGTCTTCCTCAACATCGCCCTTTTTATCGTCCTCCTCGTGCATGCCCTTTGTCAGCTCCTCAAGCTCGCGTCGGGCCTCGTCCCGCGCCGCCTCGGCGGCCTCAATCTCCGCGGCCTCCTTCTCCATAGCGACACGCTCCCTCTCCGCGTCCGACTCGTCATCATCATCATCATCATCCTCGACAATCCTCCGCGCCTTCTTCGTCGCCGGCACCGTCTCCTTCCTCTTCTTCTTCTCCTCATCGTCCTTCCTGATGCGCTCTGCCGCGCTGGCCCCAAGCCGCTTCTTCGCAAACAAGCTGCCGCCCTCCGCGGCCGGCTTGAACGGCGCGGAGCGGTTGCGCGCCGTCACCTGTTTCGCCTCGCGCGCCTTGACCTTCTTCTTAACCTGCGCTAGCAAGCTGGATGACGCGCGGGGCTTCGGGGCCACCCGCGTCTGTGCCGGCTTGGCCGCTTCCTCCGCCGGGGTCCACACCGACGTCGGCGACGAAATGGCGTTGAAGCGGCCGTCGCGCAGCGCGTTCGCCGCGTGCGTCGGAGCCGCCGCCAGCGCGCAGCCGTCCGCCACGTCATCACGCAGGCACGTCGACACCACGGGCGCCGGCTGGTCCGGCGGCGAGAGCGACCACAGCGACTTGGAGACCACCGCCGGCAGCGCGTCCGGCGTGGCCGTCAACGTGAGGCGGACCACGCCGTTGGAGAGACGGTGCGAGACGGCCCAGTGTACGGGCAGGGATGGGTTCGCTTGGGCGTAGGCGTGTAAGTGAGACTGGGCCAGGCGGAACGGGATGTCCAGAGCGTGCGAGAGATGGCGGAAGGAGACTGGGCGCATCGAGGCGTGCAGAAGCGCGTCCAGGTGCGCGGTCACCGCGGGAGGCAGGGAGGCGGGCATGGTGGGGGTGGTGGGGACGGAAGGGGGAGATGGAAAGGTGAATGGGGCGTGAGGTGGGTAGTGTTGAAGAGAAGTCAGAGGTCGCCTGACATGCAGCGGGGTTTGTGTCGGTGGTCAGTTTTGGCGCGAAAGTTTTAACGTGTACGACGTTTGCAACGAGAATATGTGTGTGATTTGTACACGTGTGGTACGTGTCTACAGCGCACAGTGGCGGCGGAAACAATCTGCAGGCGAGGGCCAATAGGCGGTGAGGTTAATATCTGGGGATGCGGGCGGAACGATCCGCCTCCGCGGCCGCCACGTCCCCGTGCGTTGCGATTGGCGTCTAATATCTCTCCGTTGCCAATCACATGCCGCCCCTCGATACACTTGCAATCATGCGTCGCACGTCTGCCACCTCTGCTCTATCCCACTTAACCTTTCGCTGCCCGTCTGCCTCTTCGTTCACATACTCCCTCCACTTTCCCTTTTGCCGTCACCTTCCCGCTCCCATCCCCGCCCCTAACAAACCCAATTCGCTCCCCGACACGCCTATCCTCCCCCCATCCTAACTCCGCAATGCCTACCGCAGCACTCCCCGCACCGGCCCGCCCATATCTCCTATGCACCCCGCCTTACCCTGACACCCTCTGCCCCGCCCACTCCTCCCCTCCTTTCCTTTTGTCCAAGCGATCCCGCCCTTCCTCCCCCTGCCACCCCCGCAAGATCCCGCGCCTGACTCTGACCGCCTGCCACCGCCCCCGCAGCCCTCCCTTTTGCCCGCCCGCGCTGCCCTGCTGGACTGACTACCTCAGCCGAA